GCAACTCTTTAAGCCTCTTGCAATCTGATAGGTCCAAAGACCAAAGAGCACCAAGTTGGGCTATGCTTTGAGGCAAATGCTCAAAATTATTTCCAGAGAGATATAACTCATTCAGAGAGGATAAGAATCCAATGTCCTCCGGAAGACCTCCGTCTATTAGATTGCAGTAACTGAGATTCAGAATCTCCAACAAGCGTAATCCATCAGACACCGCAGGGAAATCAAAGCACACTCCATCTTCGAGGCCTACTTCTGATTTTTGTTTAGCGAACTGCAAAAAATAAAGCTTGTTCAAACAGACAATGGAAGGTGGAGGTTGCGAAATTAGAGTATTTTCGGCATCAAGCCACTCCAAGTTCTCTAAATCCCCTATCTCTTTTGGTAAGATTTCAAGTTTTGAGCATGCCGACACATTTAGCTCCACCAAATTTTTCAACTTACAAATACTGCTCGGAAGTGTTACAAGGTTTTCTAAACCTCTCAAGTCTAGGCACTTTAACCCACTCTTTAACTTCAAATCCATGCTTCCGAGGATTTCTGGAAACATTTCTAAACTAGAGCACCCCTCTAAATTCAGATATTCAAGGGAATTAATGCACAGAACTGGAAACCTTTTGAGCCTTTTACAATTAGTCAACTTTAATGTACAGAGATTTTCGAGACATTCCAGGGAATGATGAACCTCTTCAAGATTCATACAATTTGACAGATTCAAAGTCGCCAAGTTTATGCTCAAAATTATTTCCAGAGAGATATAACTCGTTCAGAGAGGATAAGGATCCAATGTCTTCCGGAAGACTTCCATCTATTAGATTGCAGTAACTGAGATTCAGAATCTCCAACAAGCGTAATCCATCAGACACCACAGGGAAACTAAAGTACACTCCATCTACGAGACCTCCTCCAGAATTTTGTTTTGCAAAACTCAAAAATTTAAGCTTCTTCAACTGGACAATGGAAGATGGAGGTTGTGAAATTAGAGTACCTCTAGCATCAAGATTTTCCAAGTTTTCTAAATCTCCTATTTCTTCTGGAAAGCTTTTAAGCTTAGAGCAATCCGACACATTTAGGCTGACCAAACTTTTCAACTTACAAATGCTGCTCGGAAGTGTTGCAAGGTTTTCAAAACCTCTAAAACCTAGATCCCTTATTACACTGTCGAGCATGTGAATCTCTAACTCAGCTTTCATGTTTCCGAGGATTTCTGGAATTTTTTCTAAACTAGAGCAATCCCGTAGACACAGATAATCAAGAGAATCAATGCACAGAGCTGGAAACCTCTTAAGCTGTTTACAATTAGTCATTTTTAATGTACAGAGCTTTTTGAGAAGTCCCAGGGAACGATGAACCTCTTCAAGATTTATACAATTTGACAAATTCAAAGTCTCCAAGTTTTGCATTCCCATGAAGATTGGCAACTCTTTAAGCCTCTCACAATATGACAAGTCCAAGGATCGAAGAGCACTAAGTTGTTCTATGCTTCGAGGCAAACGCTCAATGTTAATTATACTGAGATTCAGCGTCATCAAGTTTGGCATCCCCATGAAGTCTGGCAGCTGTGTAAGCCTCTTGCAATTTGATAAGTTCAAGGATCGAAGAGCACCAAGTTGGGCTATGCTTTGAGGTAAATGATCAAAATTATTTCCCTGGAGATTCAAGTGTTCCAAAGAGTATAAGGATCCAATGTCTTCCGGAAGTCCTCCATCTTTTAAATTGCAGTAACAGAGATCCAGATCTTCCAATGAGTGTAACCCTTCATTCACTTGAGGGAACTCAAAGTACACTCCCCCTTCGAGACTTACGTTATATCTTTGTTTCGCAAAACTCATGAATGTAAGCTTGTTCAAGCAGACGATGGAAGACGGAGGTAGTGAAATTAGAGTACCTGATGCGTCAACCTTCTCCAAGTTTACTAAATCGCCTAGATCTTCTGGCAAGCTTTCAAGTTTATAGCAATTCGACACATCAAGAATAACCAAACCTTCCAACATGCCAATGCTGCTTGGAAGAGCTACAAGATTATCCAAATGTCTTAGAGTTAGGCACTGAACAATATATGATGGAAGTTCCCTTTTCTCAGAGTCCCACATCTTAATCTCTAAGTTCTGCTTCGTTCTTCCACGGATTTCTGGAAATTTCTCTAAACGAGAGCAGAACTTTAGATCCAGATATTCAAGAGATTCCACGTTAACACATGGAAACCTCTCGAGGAGTCTACAATATATCAAATTCAACCTCTTGAGTTTTGTGCGACATCCCAGGGAATGGTGAACCTCTTCAAGATTAATACAATTGCCCAAATCCAAATACTCCAAATTTGACATCTCCGTGAAATCTGGTGTTTGCGCCAGGTCTCTAGAGCGGCTGAGATCTAGCGTCCGTAGATACTGAAAATGCTGGTATTCAGAACAGAAAAAGGATGAGAAAGGAAAACAAGAACAGACAGGTAAAAGAATCTGTAAAAAAAATATTGGCTAAGGTTTCAGTACGTTTATCCAAATTAAAAATAAATAAATAGCCAAGTAGAGTTCCAACAGTGTTTTCTTTTTATTCTCTCTTTAGATGCAATGACTATTTATTTCAACATTGTATTTTTCTATAAAATAGTTGTACATAAGTTACCCTTCATGTCTGTCCCACTACATGCAATCTTAGGATGAGACTCATATCTTGCTAGGGAAATGTTTGAACCACTTAGCTTCTTATAAGTTAATATATGATAGGAAGATTTGGGAGAAAAACGACATAAAGATCTTCCAGTAATAGATATGAGAATAACCCAAAATCTATCTATATATCTATATCTATCTATCTACTATACTACCTTAAAAGCATTAACTCCCTAACTTAATGTTAAATTACTATAATACCCCCAACTTAAAACACCCAATTTATTATATATTTTGTATTTAATATTATATTTATATACACTATATTATATTAAATGCATACACCTTTTCACATTGATGGGTAGTGACTTTTTCGAAAGGTTATGACTTTTTTTTTATAGAGTTGTGACTTTTCGATGAGTTATGACATTTCCAAAAAGTTGTGATTTTTCTGAAGGGTTGTGACTTATCTAAAAAGACACGATACGCACATTTTCATATTATCCTTTGTTGTCTATAAATAAAGGGGTTTCTCACACTTTAAAACTACAAATTTTGTAAGTCTTCTACTCTTCTACTTAAAACAAGGAAGATTGTGAGAGTTGTTCAATTATGCAATTACAATATTTTTTTTGTGGGTAAATTAGATAGATCAATAAAAATTGATGCAAAAAGGAGAATGAAATAACTCAACATCAAAACGAGAAAAAGTATCGTGATAATTAATATGCACTCATTTTCATAGCCAATAAATATACTTTTGCAGCAACTCTTCCTTGACAAGAAGTTCAATGATTTTCCGTTGCACAAATTACAACTTGGTGTTCAGAATCTGAAAAAGTCTCGAACTGTTGGAGAAAAAGTATTTGATCAAAAACTTGTTGAAGAATCCTAACTACATTTAATAAGTACTCTTTCGTTTTCAATTTATTTGTTGTACTTTTATTTTTATTCAGTTTAATATAGAATGTTCTTTTTTTATTGGGGGTGAGGACACATCTTTAAGACAACAAAATTAAAAGATATTTTTATATATTCTACATCTGATCCTTAGATTAAAAGTCTTCTTTATTTTTTAAAATTTCATATCAAATTAAAATTAGACCAATCCATATCTATCATTTTTTTAAAATATATACTATCTTAAAAGAATGAACTAATAACTTAAATGTTAAATTATTATAATACCCCCAACTTAAAACACCAAATGTAGTATATCTTCTATATTTTATATTGTATTATATTTATTTGTGTGTATTATATTATATTATATTATATTATATTAAAGTCAGACAACTTTTCACATTGAAGGGTTGTGACATTTTCGAAGAGTTATAACTTTTTTGATGAGTTGTGACCTTTTTGAAGGGTTGTGACCTTTCTATAGGGTTGCGACTTTTCCGAAGAGTTGTGATTTTTCTGAAGGGTTGCGACTTTTCCGAAGATTTATGACTTTTCCGATGAGTTTTGACCTTTCTGAAGGGTTGTGACTTTCTAAAGGGTTGTGACTTCTTTTTGATAAGGCACCACGAGCAGTTTTTCATACACTACCCTTTGTTGGCCGTTAAAAAAAGGGGCTTCATCACTTCTATATTTTTATGATAAGAAACAATATGCACATACTAATGCCACACATTTTTAACTATAAATGGACGGGTTTTCTCACATTTTTAAACTACGGTCTTTTATGTTTTCTATTCTTCTCTTCTTAAAACCTCAAGTTTGATTTACAAACGTTGACAATCTCAAAGTTCAGTGAAATTAGAACACTCCATAACATGAATGTTAAATTAATCTAAATACTCCAGCTAAAAACATCCAATTTTAGTATATCTTCTATATTTGATATCAATATCTATTTTATATTTTTTTATTTAATATTTAAAAAGTAAGAACACCTACAAAACAATAATAACAAAGTAATGCACTATGGCGAAGGGAGTAGAAAGTTTATTTAAGAGGTGTAACTAAGAGATTTTAAGAGTGACTAATTTTTTATTTAGCAATATTCATATTATTTTTAAAAATAGTGTGGTACATGGTTTAACAATCACATGCAACGCACGTGCGTCAAAATTAGTTATATAAAATATATTAATTTGAGTTTATGGATTTAACAACTTCTTTTCATTTAAAAGACACGCATCATAATTCAGAACAAGCCAAAATATAAAGTATATCAAATAAAACAGGCTGAAAGAAATAGTATTTGTGCATCACTGAAGGACAAAGATAGTTAGAGAGAATAAAAATAAACAAGAATTTAATTATTGTACCTTTATTCCCGTCCATAAATAACGCAGTGAACTGAAGCGGAGTTGAAGATGAACAAGCCTTTCGGGTTCAAAATTTTCTGGCAATGACTCCCAAGGAAAGTGATTCCAAACAAACCAACGCAAGCTGTTGGGCAGGTACTCAATGGAGCCATCAGGGCAAGGGGAGCAATCTTGGGACCATATGTATAATACCCTAAGTATTTCCATATTTTTCGTGGCCTCTTTGCTAAAGCATATTTTCCCATCATAATGAAACCAGATTGCTTCCATTGCCTTGGTTCCCTGGTAAAAAAGATCATTTCTTTACAAAAGTATAACTTCAAATGTTGTATAAAATTCAATTGCCAATATGATTACTTCCTCAATCCTCGCAGTGCCAAATTAGCGTACAATATTTGTTAGGTCTTTTAAATGAAATATGTTGCTTAAGAGAAGTATACTTTGTGCAATTAGTTCAACAGTTCAATTTTCTATGGAGTTACACATTTTCTGAGAAGTGCTTTAGAGTCAAGTCTGAGAGTTTTTTCATGCAGTGACAGAATAAAATTGTGAAGTAGTAGTGCCAATAACTTGTAATTTCAACGGTAAAGTGAATTCCTGATTGAGTTAGTATATAAAAAATCTCAAACAAAATTCAAGTTATTTCAAAAAAAAGAAGTTGGCTTAAACAGAGTAAGTGGCTACTAGACTAAGGGTGTGTTTGGTATGGAGGAAAACATTTTCCGGAAAATGTTTTCCAATTTTCTCATGTTTGGCTGGGTAAAATATTTTCCAAATCAACTCATTTTCCTCAAATTCAAGGAAAATGACTTCTCTTCAAAAATTAAGGAAAACATTTTCCAAAACTTTCCTCCAACTTCAAATTATAATTTTTTTTGTTGAAAAAATAAATTTAAAGCTTATTTTTAAAAAATATTTTTGAACTTCAATTTTTTTATTTTTTTACCCCACCCTCACCCTCACCCCGACCCCCCCTCCC